TAGCCCTAACTTCACTCATCCATGGAATACCATGGAAAGTCCACAGGAGCTTGTTAAAGCCGTGTAAAGCAATAGAAAACCCTTATATAGTCACAACAGAATGTGCATTATACAGTATATTTTTATACTTAACATACTGTTTTACAAGTAAAACTGAAGTGCCAATAGAGGGCATGATGAAAATAATTCATTGCCATGAATCAAACTGAAAACAAAGCGCAAACTGTCGTCCTAAGAACCTGTAATATACTCTTATTATAGATGCCCATGATCTGGGGGCAACTGTCTATCACTATTAGCAGAGACTATAATACTATAAACTCACCACATTGCCATCGAGTGAAACAGTGAGTAGAGAACATGCCTCCTTTGAAGACATTGTGCCACAGACGCACGTTTGGACTGTTTTCTCAGTTTTAGTACTGCAAGTGTATTTTGTTTACAAAGATGAAATGCTAAATTCTTATCAACGCTGGACATCCTTCACACAAAAATGAATAGAGAAATCTGTTGCTGCTGATGGGAGGAGCTATGAACAGTCCTTTCTCATTAGGGCTTACAGCTACGTTTTGATGTTTTGTCTTCTGTGATGACAAATAACCTTCAGAATCAGAGAGCAGGAAATGATATTTGAAATGCAAACAAGTTATCAGTGTAATCAGTGTAAACATGCGCCTAACATTTTGTGACTTTCCTTTTTTCTTATAATGTTTTATTTCTGCTCCCAATATATGCCGTGTATATGTTAATTTCTAATAAATCATCTTTGGTATTTTCCTAAATTAACTTCATTCTAATTTCCGGAATTTGTTGAATTTTCAAAAAAGAACATCTTCTCGATATTCATTTTTTTTCTTCTGTACTGTATATCTACAGAGTACATGTATGTAAGATGTATGAATCTGAGACTTTTGAAAAATGCATGGAAATGATATACGGTACTAATTCTGTAGTTGAGCAAATCCAATTTTTATACTCTAATTGTTGGGTTTTAAGGAGATGGAGGTTTTTGTCTTTTGTTATCACAGAGAAAAAATCTTTGAAATATAAAACCTTGTGGGTAAACAGTAGCTCACATACGTTGGAAGACTGCACCACAACATTTAATGAACCCAATTTTGTTGTTGCACCACCACAAAGAGTT